TCCAATGAATGTTAATCTAACTGGGTTTTGATAGATAACATATCTCTTTTTCTTCTCTCAATTATTTTATTTCTTTTGTGCACTCTAATCAATATTAATCAAACTATTGTTCGTTTATACATTTTAAGAATGGCGTTTATCTTTTTTGAGAATGAGTTCTTATTTTATTTTTATTTATTGGGATCTACAACAGATGATACAAATGTTTGTGTCAGTAAATGTGTACTAACAGAGGCGGGGGTGTGTGTGGAAATAACGGGGACAGAGCTGGCTGCTGTCAGACGATCAGCTGTGCAGCGTCATCACAAACGGACGTCGCTTCACGTGACGCTCCGGAGGTAAGGACGTCCCATTGCTCTTAAAACTCATTTCCCTGCTTCTCGTGGTTTCCTTGCGTCCCTCCATGCTTCCCTGGTGGGAGGGACTAAACGCAGGGAAATGACGCAAGTGAGGGAAGCAAGGATTTCATTTAATCGACCTGAGAAGCAGCCCTGGTCGGGACCTGGTTGCAGGCTAAGAGCTCAACTCAGTGAAAGCACTGCCTGCTGACCAATCAGAGCTCAGTGTGCGGAGTTTAAAGCGTTTCAAGTCATATTACAGGAGAAAGGAAATACAGAAAAGCTGCCTTCGCAGGAAAGACGGCCGGCAAAAATCACCGACTGTGTGAACGTGAACATTAATAGAATATCACCTCCCATCTTCAGAGCAATCTGACTATTCTAACATTAGCGTTAAGAAAGCGTACTTAAATGTCTGCCACAACATAAGGAACCGGATCAGAGTAACATTAAGTACAGTCCGCGGCATATCACTTCATAATGTATCATATATTTTCTTATCTGAGTCAGCTGAGCCTTATCTGGCTGTGCAACACTCACAGTGTCACATACTGTATGCAGAAGTATTATTTTAAGCAACACATTAAGTTAACGAAACACTCGAGTCAAATGTAATTAAAGTCAGATCGTGTCTTGGACGGGGCAGTGATATCATAAACCTGTTAATGTATGCATTAATGTAATGTAATGCATTCAAACACTTGTTCTGTTACCAGCTGTATTCACCTTGCAGGTGCAGCTATGTGGCTTTTATCCTGGATAAAGTGTTTAAGTCATGGATGTTTAAAGTTTAACTTCTTCATATGTCTAATATTAAAGTTCACTTTTCATTCAGGAAGTATGACGCTGCGCTGTCAGTACACTTCTCCATGTTTGTGATTGGTCGAATGCTCCAAATACCACCCCTTTCATGTGAACGCGCACCTAACTAGTTAGGAAACGGCTGGCTTGAGCGATCCACTTGATAACCAGCGTCGTAGTACATATAGTTTAGCGAGAGCGGCTATGTTTTGGATTAGGCCAACCGGCTAACTCAAACATATCCAGGTTAGGTTGAACCAGTTTCGTAGTCAGCGAACTAGTGCACTGCTCACCAGCCACGCCCCGACACATGGCGTGAGGCCGGTCAATCACAAAGCTTTGATGCGTTCAAGTGCATTATTCTGGCACGGGAACATTATGTTACAGGACATTAACGATAAAACAGAATATTGTTGTTCTATTTTTAGACACATCTCGCGATCGACTGGGAATCTCCCCGCGACCCTTCTTTTTAACTAGTTGCTGCTCTTGTTCTGACATCTTCGCTTGCGCTGAACACTCACAACACATGTCACTCCCACGTGGCCGAGTGGGCTTTTAGGGAGGGGCGAAAGCGCACCCAGCAAAATAATCGTATTTTGTCAATTATGCTGTTTTCTTAATCGTCGCAAACCATAATCGTAATCGCGATTAAAATACGATTAATTGCACAGCCCTACCTCAGGCACCAACTCATAAGCCTTTAGCACTGCAGTCTTTACCCTAAAGTAATCTTCACTGTGAGCCTGAGCCATACTTAATGCAGAAAATGCTTCTTGAGACCTACCAGTTAACATACACTGTAATAGCAATGTTTTCTCCGAATCAGACCACTGTCGTCTTTGGCTAAACCGCTCAAAAAGTCCAAAAAAATTATCTACAGTCTTCTCATCGAATTTCGGTAACAACCTCAGGTTATAAGCTACATCAAAAGTTGCTGGGGACACCCCAGGAGAAAGCTTACCCTCTTGGATGAGGTCCAACTTGTAACGCTCTTGTTGCAACTCAGCTTCCCGCATCACTGTAGTTAACCTTAAACGCTCCATCTCAGTTTCCTGCTCACAAGCCCTAGCCCGGTCCTCATGAGCACTTGCTGGTTCACTGTCTTGTTGGAACTGCAGCAGCATTATTTCCTTTCTCTGTTCAAATGTCATTTCACTAAAGTCAGACAAAGAAAAACCTGCACTTCTCTGCCGCCCTGGACTTATAGCTGTCATCTCAGCCAACTCATCCTCGGAACAAACATCGACAGCCACTGCTGGCAGAACTTCTTGCAGTACCAACTGGGTCTGTAACATAGTCACTATGGTGTCTTTACGACCCTGCTTTGGAACGTCTACCTCAAAATGCTCTGCAATTTTTAACAGTTGGTCTTTGGTACATTTTTCCAGCAGTTCCACACTGGGACACTTAACAAAATCCATCAATGTAGCCATGATTATGCAAACTTCCTTGAACCTGGTGCACAGACACTTAAAATGAATTTTTTTTAAAACTCTAGAATACCTCTCCCCTCTTAAATAGTGGAACCAGGTGCCACAGGTGGGTCTCATCACTGCTGATTACAAGGAAAACCCAGGTTACAACAGCACCACATGGTGGACAACCACAGGGTTGTCACAGTATCTTTGCTTTTACCTATTTGGGCTACTATCAATTGTATTTAAAACTATATAGCCTCCTATCGGCTGCTGCTTTATGTGCATCTTTTGAATTGCAAACAAAAATGGCTGCCTAGCCATCTATTTTTTTTATCAGGGACAATACACATTGACAAACACCTGCTGTAAATGTGCCAGAGTTAGCCAAGAGGCTATTTTTCATCCGTAGTCCCAGGACCGATGTACTTTCTACATGTATAGGTCTCTGCTCAGTGTTATACAGAGGGGTTTGTAGTTTGTTATTGATATTCAGGCAGAGTACTGAAAATGTATTTTGAATTATAAATCAAACTCTTGAAATGTTAAGAAACATTTTTTTCCCAATTCAAATCTCTTATTTGGGCCATAATATTTACAATATTTCAGCTATTGTTGTCATTTTTAAGGAATTCCTTTAAGAATTTAATTAACTTCACTTGTGTATAGGCTGTTGACTGCTGCCTTGTCATAGCATATTGGCTCTCCATTTAAAGATGAATTGGCTTAGACCAGTGACCACCAACTGGCGGCCCGCGGGCCACATCCGGCCCGCCAGACATTCTCATCCGGCCCGCACGACGGGGGTGACTGTGGCGTTGGCGGAGTGGTTACTGCGTTCGCCCCCACCCATTTCTTTGTTTACAACGTCTCGTGAATAAGGTGCAGTACCGGAGTCCAACAGAGAGGCAGCAGCTGCGGATCAGTAGACAGTAGACTGCGTACTGCGAAACCTTCCCTCCCCTGAAGAAGAAGTGATCCTTCGTTGAGAAGAGTCTGGTCAGAGCCGTATTATACGGCTCTGAGTCTGGTTAATGCGCTCCGCACCACAGCAGTAGCCCCGCTGCCACAGAGTCCAACAGAGAGGCTGGAGCTGCGGGACAGTAGCCTAGAAGCAGGGTTGGGTTGTAACGGAATACATGTAACGGCGTTACGTAATCAGAATACACAAATCAAGTAGGCTAACTGTATTCAGCTGGCGTTACATTTGAAAAACGAGTAATCTGAATACAGTTACTTTCGTAAACCTGAAGTGAATACTTATTGGAATTATTGGTGGAAAAGTTGGTAACACTTTACAATAAGGTACACAAAATGTGCTTAGTTACTGCTTAGTTACTGAGGAACTACTAGATAGTTAATGGTTAGTTAATGAGTAGTTCCTCAGTGACTGCGATTGAGGAACTGATGGTTAGTTACTGGTAAACAGACTGGGGGTACTGTATTAACGAATCATTCGTTAATGGTTACTTAATGAGGAGTTCCTGAGTGAACTAATGCTTAGTTACTGGTAAACAGACTGGGGGGTACTGTATTAATGAATCATTCGTTAATGGTTACTTTATGAGGAGTTCCTGGGAGACTTTGATTGAAGCAATGGTCCGCTGCAGCAGGGCACATTTAAACCTACCATCTTCGGCTGGCTTGGGTCCCACCCTGGATCAACTGGTGGAGGTGGATCCGATTTACCTTACCATTACTTAGGCCGTTTGGGTATGGTAAACTCAAGGAATGCAAACAAAAACAGTAGTTACCCATTACCTAATGATTACCTTACCGTTACTAAAACAGTAGTTACCCATTAAGTAATGCTTACTTAACCATTCGTTAAGCATTGTGTGTCCCCTCAAGTAAAGTAATGCATGAAAAACAGTAGTTACCCATTACCTAATGCCTACTTAACCATTCGTTAAGCATTGTGTGTCCCCTCAAGTAAAGTAATGCATGAAAAACAGTAGTTACCCATTACCTAATGATTACCTTACTGTTACTAAAACAGTAGTTACCCATTAAGTAATGCTTACCTTACCATTCGTTAAGCAGTGTGTGTCCCCTCAAGTAAAGTAATGCATGAAAAACAGTAGTTACCCATTACCTAATGCCTACTTAACCATTCGTTAAGCATTGTGTGTCCCCTCAAGTAAAGTAATGCATCAAAAACAGTAGTTACCCATTACCTAATGCCTACTTAACCATTCGTTAAGCATTGTGTGTCCCCTCAAGTAAAGTAATGCATCAAAAACAGTAGTTACCCATTACCTAATGATTACCTCACCATTAGTTAAGCAGTTTAACAAACAAACAAACACTGTTGATGACAATGACGGATCTACAGCCACTGAAGTTTTACATTTTTATTCAAACAACGATGAACATAACAACAACAACAAAAAATGGAAATAAAAAATACTTTTTATAAAAGAAAACTAAAAACAATTGCAAACCAAAAAAACATCCATTCCTTCCTCACTTCCCCTTTGGATTAATGGATAATAGTCCTCCATTGGTCTTCAAGTCCTGGACCTTCCCCTCTAAATTTTGGTCCTTTATGGCAGCTTTACACATCTCAGTGAAACGGAGAAGGGTTTCCCCCTTCTTCAGTGTTCCCCGGATATCTTGGTAGATGCCCGGGTTCACGGCATGCAGTTCTGCAATTCCTGCAGTGTCGGCAATGGTTTTGCAGTCCACTCCTACCGCTCTGTAAGCCGCCGTTTTATTATTCCCCTTGTTTACCGCCTCAAGAACACGCTTGTAGCGGCTTATGGCGTCTTCTGGGGTCAGGACTGAAACAGAAAAAAAGACAAATATGTAACTATTTAACAACAGTACTTTGTTGTCCATCCATCTTCTCCCGCTTATCCGTGGTCGGGTCGCTTTGTTGTTGCCTATCCTAATGATGTCTGTAGTGCAGAAATCAGTTTGGATATGGGTTTATTTATTGATAATATTGTTGTACTAGTGTTATATAGTGGTAGTGTAATCCTTACATACAAAATTGTGTAATGAATTGGTGTAGTGTAAAGGTATTACTAGTCGTGTAGCTTTGCTCAAAGTAATGTATGTTAGTTATTGTGTTTGGGGTGTGTACCTTTATATACAGAAGTTAGGCTTGGGCAATCAGCTCTACTTTTATCCAATCATGTTTAATAATGATAACTGATAAGACGATCCACAATGTGGATTTAACGCTCTATCGACATTGTCCCGTTTCTAATTTATAACGCATCAATATGGCCAAGTTTTAGCCTGGCATCCTCATGTCTCAGCAGCCTTTAAATGGAACAGTTTGGAGAATCTGCTCTCCCTGTTCTTTTATTAAAATCTGACACTGCAGGTTAATGTAAGCGTGCAGAGACCAGTTGTTTGGAAACACTGGTGTCGCTCTGAACAGAGCGACATCACAGCATGTTCTGTTTAACATTATAGGCCTACTTATATTCAGGGATGCAAACACCCGTATGGTGAAATAAGAGAGAACTATTAGAAACAGAAAAAACAGCGTAATATACCATCTGACAAAGGCCTGCGCTATAATGCGTCAATTAACTGGCTATTCTTTATAATATACGGATAGGAGACAGAGATGTTAAGTTACAAATAAAGGGTTTTTATTACTATTTAGATCAGGGGTGGGGAACTTTTTTCTCTCAAGGGCCATTTCAATTTTTACAACTTTCTCCAAGGGCCGTACAAATTATTGAACTCAATTTCTGCTTAAAAATTCTAAAATCACAGCCCATTCATTTCACCTTTCTTTCATGCTGTGCAAAGAAAAAGCAACCTCTTAATCCAGATATTTTACCATGACTCATGCATGCATGCATACACGGTTGTGGCATGACCACCAAAACAGAAAGATATGGACACAAGATGTGTGCAAATTTGTTTTTAAATGTTGAAGTTAAAAGCATCAATCTGGTGCACTTTGAGAGCAAAATGAAGAGATCTATGGATACATCTCTCAACACCCAGATGAAACAGAACTGTAAGCAGATTACTCTTTTTCTTTATGGATATTTTACAAATCACTCTCCTTTCAAACTGTATTCTTGTTATTTTAAAAAACGTTTTTGTTACTGTCAAAGTATTTTATACCTGTATACCAAAACTACAACTCTTCACTTCTCCACGAATTACACAAGTCACCCAAATCAGCGTCAAGGTTAGCCTGTTTTTAACGCAAAAAACAATGCTGTGTTTTGAATATCGGGGCCTTAACACCAGGTACCTCCTACTCAAAATTCCCAGCATCCGTTGAGCAAAAATGGCTGCAGAACCCAGGGTGAGGATGCTCAGAGTACATAGCCCGAATGACACCTCTTTTCCCATGTCCTACGTATCCTGCACAACACAAAAGTGAAAAATCTGATCTACAGAAGGCTGTAAATGTAATAATACATTTGATTTAGATCATTTGTATGTATAATGTTATGAATGATCTGCTATCTTCAATACTATGGTTAAGTGATATTTAAATTAAACTTAAAAAAATCTATATACAGGCTGTCACCATATTTTGGAATTGTGAAAAGACTGGCAAGCCACTTCCCTTATAAGCTTTACAGTTACCTGGATTGTATTCCACCAGCCCTGCAGATATTACACTAGCCTACAAACCTCAATAGGCATGACTCCTAAAATCCCTAAATCTGTTGATTTTTTTCACACATCTTAGTCCTTCTTCTTAAAGTCCTTAAAGTTTTAGTTTAAAATAGAGATACTTTTTAAATATTGTTCTATAATGTCAGTGAATAACAAAATGTTTAATTATATAACTTTTACATCTCATTTAAAAAAGGTGGTTGCTAACTTGATCAGTGGCATACTGTGACAACAGCAGCTGGCTATGGAGTGCAACTGTTGCATGAAATGACGACAACCACCACACAATTACATTACAATTATAAATATATTAATTTAGAGTTTGTCTTTAACTGTGTGAGACTACTACTGATACTCTCATGGAGCACTAGATAATTGTCTGTTTGGAAGCTGCTTTAATATATTAATGTGAGTCAAAAGTACATTTTACACATATATTCCTGCTTACATGATGTAGTGGGACATCCTGATATTTTTAAGTTGAAAGTGCAATATCCAAATTGCAAGAAGCTGCAATTATTATTTTTCAGCTAAATTTGAGAATACAAAATTATTTCCTTTTTCTTCAGTAAAATCTGGACTTTCACTCACTCTAGATCTAATCAATGTGGCAGCCATCTGTAATTTAGGTTACTTTGAAAAAAACAAATGGTGACAGCACTTAATTGTCTAAAGCTAACTGTGAGTGACGTGCACTGATACATTTTTGAGGAAATATAATCTATCTAACAATCTATGTAAGCACTGAAAGCATCTGAAGCAGAAATACAGAACTTATTTATCTATGTCATTGTATGCCAACCTGAACAATCTTTGAATTGCGTTCTGCAAAACTGACAAGACGAAATGCAAAACATGGTGGACATTTCCTCGCGATAGGACTCGGAATGGTGAAACCAATTTGTGTCCACACCTGTAATAAGAAAGTATAAAACAATAAGCCTAAGGTTTAATTTAGCAAGCTTATTGAAATTGAATTTGTAAAATACAATATTTCTTACTCAATATCCACAAAAAGTGTGCCTTTTTCCGGAAAGCGTCCTGGCTGACGGTATTTCTTACTTTCCAACAAACCAGAGAAAGCGTCAAATATGCCATGTCTCCAGCGTCAAGAACTACCTCCAAAAGAATGCTCTGCAGCAATCCTTGCGGTAGCTATGGACATATTTTTTCAAGAACCAGGTTAACAACAGAACTGAATTTCAAAACAAATATTTGTGTATATTAATATATTGATATGCTCCTTCTTCATAACCAACCAAGAGAAGTGGTTACCTTAAGAATCCAGCAACATGTCTTTCTTGTGTCCACCATATTTTTTGGGCGCTCAGCTCTTTTATTGAATCCAACCACTTAAAAACACAAAAACAACCAGAAGATGATGCAGGGCTGGCTAAACTTTACTCTAGTTATGGTTGGGCTGATGGACAATGACATTGTGCATCAGCCATGTATGATAGCCATCGCCGTTGGATACCTGACCATCATCACATCATGAGTTAATAAGGCGCCCTCCCCTCCCTGCCCCACAAGAACGGGTAGAGTTTCCGTTTCGGAACAGTTAACTGCGGTACTCACATTACTTTAAACAGCCATAAAGTGGGAGGATAAGCTCAGGTTGATGTATAATAGTTAAACAGCTGACTCCATTATTGTAACAAGTATTACAGCAGAAATAAACAAAAAAGCATTGGTAAATGAAGCGCAGAGTTTAGTTTGAGCCGTGGTCCCGGAGCTGATCAAGCACCGCCGCAGAGGACATCGTCTATGTCCAGTTGAGTACACATCGCCCAATTGTAACTTGAACATTTGTTGAAATTAAAGACTTAATGCATACTAAAAGTATTTATTGAGCTGTAAAATACATTGTACGACTGTACTTCAACACCAGACTGCATTCGTTCCCTTAATGATCCCCTTGATGATAACACGCTAAGGCATGTAGCGACACTCCCCCACTAATTAAGTTTAATGTACTTTAAGTGCATGAGCAAATCCGTTTCAGTTTAGTGTTTTCAGTATGAACACAAACAGTCTGACAGCACCTGCTAATGCAGGTTAGCCCTGTTCACTAGCTGTTCCTTCTACACTGAGCAATGGTCAGTCTGTCACATAATTCACTGTAGTCCTACCTCCTTACTTCCCTAGTCAGACACTGTGTAGGTGGCCAACGTACCTCTCTTTGCAGTCTTTCCTTTTGTCTTCTTCGCTTTTTTTCTTGCCATATTTGTTTTTCTTGTTCTTCTTCTTCTTACTCTTCCTCTTCTTCCCTCTGTCTGATGAAGAGGATGAGGAGGAGGAGGAGGAGGAACTGGAGGAGGTGGAGGAAGACGAGGAGGTGGAGGATGAAGAGGAGTTGCCTGCCCCTATTTGGTCACCTTCAGAAGTAACTGGCGCCTTAACTGATGCCATTTTTAGAAGGGCCAAAGCTGAAACAAACAAGAGGATTAGAAGATAACTATTGTTACCACTAAGGGTCAGAACATTTACAATAATCTTTAAACCTTATATTGTGTGTTCAGAGTTTCACGCAGATCGGTGAAAATTCATATAGTGTTTTTCACTACATTTGAAATAGTGAAAAATATCGTGACCTGAAATGTTAGGTAAGTGAAACAATTTGTTCTTTAGGATTTATGGAATATGTGAGATAATTTTCATGACTCTAGTTCAAACGGGGCATGTGATATGCCTGTTCCAAGTTTCCCCCGAACAAACGGACTCAACATGTTTTAACAAGTGACTGTTCTTTCCCTCTCAATCCAACCCTCTACTGTCGGTTGATAAGTGAGAGAAGTGAGCTGGAGCCTGATCTGTCAAGCTCCACCCCACCATTTGGTGCTGTCCGTCCTATATGCTTGTCATGATATGTTTGCAGTGAAATGACTGAATTGCTGATGCAACTAGTCATCTGCAAGCATGTATGGCCTCATGGTCTGTGATGAGAAATGTTGTAGGGCTTGGTGTATGTGCCTGTTTTTTTTCTCAAAAGCTATCAGATGCCAATAAGTAATTATTTAATCATTATTGATTTGCTTACCCTCAGCCAGCTGTATCCTCAGATAGTCCCTTTCGCTTTCAACAGTTAATAATTTGTCCTTTGAAGCATCTAGCCTTATTTTCAAGGCATTATTATCTCTGTTTCTGCGCTTCAGAGCTGCTATGGCTGTGGGAGCTGCAGAAACATCTGTAATGACAAAAACGGCAAAAAAAACAACATTATCTTTTCTGTAGTTATTACACAAATAGTATGTATAGGCAGATTGTGGTTCCATGCCTTTGTTTAGCGTTTTCAAAAAATGTACAATAAAATGTCAAAATGATAGATCTAGGACCGCCTGTATTGTCGTGAAGTTGCAGACATGTCATTGATCACATTTAATAGAGACTGTTGAATTCTATATTGGGACTTGCAACTGCATTTAAACACTGCAAAACCTATGATAATACATTACAAAACATTACTATATTCACTTCAAGGCAACTGTAAGATCATTGATTCTGACAGGGGCTTCACAAGTAATTGCAAAAAATAACTTCAACTTTTAATATGCACTCAACCACACAGAAGTAAAATGGGCTCTAGTACATTTGCACAAGCGTTTACATTTTCGTTATGTAATATTTTCTTGTTCTAGTGTATTGTGCGATATTATATATATATATATATAAAGATAACACAATCAAAAAACAGTAACCGTAGATAAAATGTAAATGTAATGCAATGTCACAACACAACCTAACCTTTAGTTGATGCTTTAATAGTAGACTGCTGTCCTGTGAATGCATCCGAGTCAGACCCATCACTGCAGTGCACTACAGCTTTAAGAGGGGAGACAGAAAGTTCATAAATTAGAAATAGTGTTGACAAAATGGTACATATAGCGATAGGGAATATTTGAAATTGTGTAAAGGTCCAAAATGCCAAATTAGACCAAAAAAACATGGATGTCGTCCAAACCACTATCTGCCCACCCTGACCTCTACCACCAACAAAGGTATGGCAAAGCACAGTGGAAGAATCTCCTCAACACAGGAGATAACAAGGGGCTTCACTTTGTGCATGTGACATCTTTAATCCACTATACGTTTACATATTGTTTTTTTTACTGCTATCTGCTAAGCAACTACTTATTAGTACACCATCTGAGACTGAGTGGATCCTTAAAGTATGCTTAACATTTGAAAGCAAACACTTACCCATTTCCTTTGCCACAGTGTGGGAGCTGCATGGCTCTTCCTCAGACTGACCAGCCAAATATTGATCCGCTGTAAGATTATGGAGCACAGAAAGAGTTGTTGATGTAGAGAGCATTACTATATGGAAGTATGTTTGTTTTTTTTCAGCTATATTATAACTTCATTGGAACTATTTCAAAATTGGATATCTGAAAAGCCACTCTTGAATGAATGTATGAATGTACTGTTTTTAATTATATTTTCATTACATATCGCCCAATGCTGTGTTAAAATTAAAATACTCTCGTTTCTAGCACCCTAATGTCATTTACTTATTTAAGAGTTAAGATAAAACGTTAAACCTTCGTAATTGAGATATTTCAGTTTATTTGACGATTTAACTAATTTAACCCATAACAACCCAGACCCATTTCTACTTTTGGGGAAATTAAGGGGAACATAATTTAGACTAAATAGACCACATTTCTGACAATGTGACATTGAACTTTAATGGTAAAGTAACTCTTATTTATAACTTAATTAATGAGGAGGATTTTTTGATTTAAATTTGTTTTAACATTCTTTGAATTGAAGAATAAAGAATATATTAATTAAATATAATTGGATCACCTAAATTAACTGAGCAGATCATACTCATATTTCTAATTGTGACATATGTGTTACTCCAGATTTACTGTGAAAGTTTAAGGTTAATGTCCCGATGTGATATCAGTGTCACAGCGATATTTATCTAATTTGTTTCATATCAATTTGATCAAGAAATGTTAACAGGTTCAATGTAACAAAGTACATGTTATGTAAGCATTTTAATTCTTAAATGGCTTGATTTGTACCTTTAGCAACCAAAAACAAGCCTCTGAAATGTACCTAGTTCTGTCACATGTCTTAGCCCGGCACATGACCCACCAGACTTTTCAGGGTGTGTCACTTAAGGACTTTATGAGATAAAAACAAGTCTAAAGCTGTATAAGGAACTTTACAAAACATTTAAATGTCATGTAAGCGCTTTGAGCTCCAGCAAGGGGCTTTATACATGTAATGTATTATTATTATTATTATTATTATTATTATTATGTAACACGTGGGTCCTCGTGGTTTAGCTAGCAACCTCAAATCAGATAGCACAGAACAAAAGGTGTAATAACATGTGTCAATTGAGATGATTTCGCGATGCAGTGTTACTGATTTCTGAAATGACAAAAATAAATTTAAATTCATACTTACATTCTGACACTAAACGCTTAGGGGGCCCCATCCTCTTTCGCTTGCTTCTCCTCGAGTCCATTTTCAGTTCTAAGCGTGTAGACTAAAGCATAGACTGTAGTGTACATATAAGATGGAGAGGTTGAGTTTTATCACTAGCCGAGATGCACGTGACAGGCTCATGGCCAATCGTAGCACTTGAATGCTATGAAGGGGCGTGTCTTGCATAGTGCTCCAGCCGGATCCCGATCTGCAGCGTATTAACACTTTATTACGGTTTTAATATTTTAATTGTATATCAGTGAATATAAAGAAGCTGTGCTTTGTCAATTGAACAAGGAAGATGAAATACCTGATTCAAAACATCAAAACTATTGGTTTGAATCGTGTGAACAAGAAATGAGGATCAGGGTGCTAGGGCGCTAGTGCGCTCAGCGGAGTTCCACTTCCGGTCTGGCTCAGCGGCAGCACATCTTGAACTACGCTGGGCCGCAGTAACGCAGTAGTAACGCAGCAGTCAGGTTATAGGTTATCATCATGACACTGCACACCAAAGTACTCAGTCTTATTGACGGAAGACAGACTTTTAAAAAAAAGAAACAATTAATTGAATGGCTAATGAAAAAGGAATTGCTTCAAGGAAAAATGAAATGCAAACTCTGCAAAAAGAGGATGAAACTGGAGAAACACTCAAACGTCGACGGACTGCAGTGGTAGGCTAAGTCGTACA